AATATAGAACGGAATGTTGATAACAGTTTCTTGGGAAGAGGAGGAAAAGGTAGAGGATTATATAAAAATAGACAAAAATTAAACATGATGATTTTTTTTTTTTACAAAAAGTTTTGCTAGTAAAAATTTTGCAAATTTGATGGTTTATAGCCACTTTATTGGATATATTTTTCAAATTGCAAATATTTTTCAGCGTAAGTATCAGACTAAGAAATATTTTGATTTACAATTCAGGAAACAACTTAAAAAAAAAATTGCTTCTAAGAGAAACTAGAAACACCGGGTGCAGGTTTGTTGAGCAAATCAAACCAATTGCTTGCTATAGCAAAGATGGGAGGTTAATTGGAAACGGGCAAAAAGCTGCAGATGGTGCTTGCAGAGGAAACTTTGTGCTTATAACTAGACTGAAGAGCCGGATTTGGGTAAACAGTGTGGCGCCACAATATAGTTAACTGATAAAATTGTTATAGTTAAATGCCTTATCAATCATATAGTTAACTGTGTGACTGTTATTTATGAAAGAAGCTGTGGTATTTAAAATCTTTATGAACTTTTTGCTTCCCGTTAGAAGAAAAAAAAAAAAAATGCTCCTAATTTTATGCAACAGTAAATGAGACATTATTACATTTTAAGGTGTAAGCAAAGTTAAGTGAAAAAAAAAAGGAAAGCGAAACAAAAAAATGCTAAATTTTTCTTTTAGTTTGATATATGTTTTTCTTTTTTTTTTTTTTATTTTTTGCAATACTCCATAGTATATTACATCATAACAATAAAATTTGTTTGCATAATATATGGTTAAGCAGTAATAAAAAATAATTATATCAAACTGATAGTTAGCACTTTAACAGGTAGACTAAAGTACCAGCCACGGCTACTGGAAAATAATTGGATTCATGTTGACAGCAGAAGTAAAGAAGAAAAAAAAAAAAACTTGTGATTTGTGCTTTGTCCTATTTATTTCTTAATCATTTTTTTTTCCCTTTTTTTTTTTTGTTTCTTGTTTTCTATCCTCCTTACAGTGTAATACTGTTCTACCATTTAGCTTCTAACACTTCTAAATTTTTCATAGTTTATCGTTCTGAAATTGTTTAGGAGAAGAAAAGAAAAGGAAAAAAAAATTTAGCAAAATTTTAAGCAAAAAAATTTAAAGGCATATTCAAATGAATAAATAAGAATTGTTTGGAAAAAAAATTTAAAAATTTAGGATTTAAAGAAAAAAACATTTCTTAAAGTTTTCTACGTTAAACTTTTTTTTTCCCTTACATTAGGTAAAGTCAGTAGTTTTCAAGGGGGAATAGAAACTACAAAAGTACTGTATTATAAATCCGTAGATTGAAAAGTTTTTTTATGCAACAAAATGGTGCAGTATTGGAAATGTGAACAGAGCCAAATTTTAACTTTCCTATCCGCAACTATATTTGGCATCAACAGTTAAGTCCAAAAAACTTCATAAATAAATTTTTTATATGGTTAAAAAATTGATATTAGTATACTGAAGTGGTAACTTCTCCATTCAAAAAAAAAAAAAAATATATAATCTTATAATCTCTTTTTTTTTTTTGTTTCTAGAAGCTGAGCTTAAGAAAAAGCAAGAAAACAGAAGCAGAAATGAGTTGACTGTTTTTGTCTATGCTTATTGTGCTATTCTGATCACTAAACTGATGATAGTTGCTGCAGTAAACATCCTCAATGTATACTGCAACACCGTGTTGTTGGTTTTCATTGTTTGCCAACTTAATCGAACATATAAACAAGTAAAACAGCCAAAAATCTATGCATATTTTAGCATGTTCTTGTCTATTTGACTGATATATGTGACAACTGAAAGGAGTGAAAAATTGGGCAAACTAAAATTTTTGGACTCTAAAATTCGCTTTTTTTTTTTTTTACCTGAAATAACTCACATAAATTAGAATTTTTGAAAAATTGTAACTGTATGTCACGGCATTACTACAAATGATTATGTTTGAAGTATTCTTCGTTCTCTTGCCATCAGCCAACGGTAATTTCTTTTGGAACATTTTCTTAAGTGTCTTTGGTTGTTCCTTAGGTTTTTTAAATTTTATTGCTGAACACTTTACAGCACATTTTGAAGAAAATTAAATCATTTAAAAAAAACTTGATTATAAATAATACGATTTTTTTCCTTCATTCTTCAGTAATTTTTCGAGGTCTTTTGAAAATTAATTGATGCAAAAACAGATGTGTTCGCTTTATTGATGGGAAAGTAGAAATGTATGAATATACCGGGTAAACAGAATATTATTAAGAATTACTGCAAACTTGAAAAAGAAGTAAGCGTTTGCTTTACAATTTTGAAAATTCTGAAGAAATATTTGTTGTTGCTATTTGTCAAGTATCATTTCTCATGTTTATAGAAGGTTCGTTTTTTCAATGTTTTCCAGCTTTTCTAACAAAATTCTAATTAACAGTTCCAAATTATTTATAGCCTAAAGCCTTAGTTGTGATAATCAGCAGAATGTTTACAGTGATTCTGTATTAATCCGCAGTATGTTTCCCTGACCCATTTGTTTGGAAACAGCAGAACGAGTATATCCGTCAAAGGCAGATAAAACCGACAATAATTTCGAAACTAGATGACAGCTATTTATAGTAATTGCAGTAATTGGGATAGCACCGATATATCGGTTTCTGTTTGATGTACTATAAATCGTAAAAAAAAGAAGGAATAAAACAGTTCTTTTAGTGCAGATTAGTATTTCCTTCAATAAAATTTCTTTTCTTTTCTTATTTTTTTTCTTCAACCACAAAACAGTAGTGTTTTTAGAAGGTATATTTGTTGCAATTGTAATTCCTTCATTCCAGACTAAAAATATTCTACACTAGGTAAAAAAAAAAATATACTACCGTTTTCAAATTAATAACATTGAAAGCAATATAGCATGATTATCGTATTTTTTTCTAGCAAAAAAAAAAAAGAAGAAATATGCTGATATACCTTCAGAAATTAATTAGTCCACGACGGGAAGCGTCATTAATTGCGAAATTGATGTCTTATTTAATTGTATTCATATAATTAACCTTATATATAATTAGTTTTTTTTCCTTTTCTTTTTTTTTTTT